ATCTGGCATGGAAAAATTCCACCCAAATGTTTTAACTGAGGCAAAGTATGGTCAGAAAATGAGATTGGACTGTAGAACATAACTAAAACTCTCAGACAGTATTGCTTCTGCCCTGCTAGCGATGACACGCAGGCTGTTTATTGTTTCTTAACTTTAATTTCTGGATTTTGTTAACTGAGGCCCCTGCGTCCATACAGCAGTTGCCTTTGTTTTATTTTGCTCATTTTAGTCTTTTCATGACTTAATATATCAAACTGTTTAATTAACTTCTGCTTTCTCTTGAAAAGGTCACATACTGGTGAAAAGCCATTTAAGTGTTCTCAGTGTGGAAGAGGCTTTGTGTCAGCTGGAGTTCTGAAAGCACATATTAGGACACACACTGGATTGAAAGCTTTTAAGTGTCTTATATGCAACGGGGCCTTCACTACTGGTGGTAGCCTCAGGCGACACATGGGGATCCATAATGACCTTCGACCATATATGTGTCCGTACTGTCAAAAAACATTCAAAACGTCACTAAACTGTAAAAAACACATGAAGACTCACAGGTATGTTTACGATTTTTATGTGAAACCTTCAGTGTATTTCAGTAGCCCGCCCTTAAAGATGCTTGGAAAGCCAGCTTTGCTTTATAGGAAATGCTAATAGTTGAATAAGGATGTTTGTTTATGGGGGGCAAATACTTTGGTAGCTCTGAAGGTATAGTTAATTGTGGTGTATAATAAAAATAAAAGTTTCCTCACATAATTAGCTAGGGTAACTGTCTAACTGAAGCCATAAAAAGACCACCTTACCTTTCTTGGCAGATACGAACTCGCACAGCAACTTCAGCAGCATCAGCAGTCTGCTTCCATAGACGATTCTACCGTAGATCAGCAGAGCATTCATGTTTCTACACAGATGCAAGTGGAGATTGAAAGTGATGAGCTGCAGCAGTCAGAAGCTGTTGCAACAGATCAGCAGGCCATTTTAGAGTTAGACCAGCAGCCAGTAGTAGGCACAGAAGAAACGGCACTAGAACAACAACTGACTGATCAACCTTTAGAGCAAGATGAAGGTGAGTATTTGAATTATGATGAGGTTTATAATGAGGTGAGTTTACAAGTTCGAAAATAACTTTTTATTCACAAATTGAGTTTCAAGACAATACAAGTAAACAACTATAAAAATACATGGATTAAAAGCTAACTACTTTGCGTATATTGTACAATTTATTTCATTCATTAGTGTTTAGGTTTACTGTTAAAAATACAAAAAGATTGGTGGTTTGCACCATTTAATTGTATCAAACAAAACTACTAAACAAATACACAGAAAAATAATACACTGTGCACAAAACATTACCATATCACTTCTGTTATTAATAAAAAATACTGCTATATAGTCTACTTAGGAAATAATACCTATGCTTTGAGGTGGGAGAATACAAAATATTTCATGTCCTTATTCTATTAGTAACAGTTGAACAAAGTATTTTGGTTTGCTTATTTGCTCTTTTTCATAGTGTTACGAGTTAGCAGGTGCTACAGAAGAATATAGATAAAGCCTACAATAATAAGCAAAGATTTAAATAACCATTCAGCTAATAATTTTTAATTTATTTTTAATGCAGTAAAATTTCAGATAACTATAAAATGTAGGTTTATGGGGACAACTGAATTACCCAGTTAATAATATCTTATTTTCTTGATATTTTTGCTCTTTTGTTCCCCACCCCCACCACCCCCCTTCTCCACTTCCTTTCCCCATTTCAGATAGATTTGTGACATCCCAACATGCTTTACAGGAAAACATCACTCAGTTTGAACAACAAGCTATAACACAGCAGCCATTTGATCAACAGGGCTTATCACAAGGTTCGTAATAAGTAAAGGTTTTTTAAGGGGGATTTGTAAATCTGGCTTAACAGTATAGCTATCCTCAAGCATTTCAAAAGTGGGCATCTACAATCAGAATAGAGAACTTGCAAAAACTCTTTCTTAAATTACTATTTTGAAACTATATTCGGTAGAATATTTTGAATACTTAAATATAGAGTTTTCTTTCATGCACCTGTGTTTAGTCATTACACTCAGGCATTTCATATTCTTTCCTTACTTGTGTTTGAAATTGCTGTGACAGTAGGCAGTTTACACAACTTTCCCCTGAGTATTTGTGCTCATAAACTGAAATAATCAGAAACACTGTCTAAGATTTGGGATTCTTTATGGAAAAAGACAATGCGAAATATAATCACTTAAAAATCATACTTTCACCTAACCACAGCAGTTTGCTTTTGTTTTTTCATAAAGCCACATAAGTAACAAATTAAGAGATTGGAAACTTTTTAGAATTTCTTTACCAACAAAATGCTGAGAATTATGTATAAGGCTTATGTAATGTGCAGGGAATGATGAAATAACTGTGTTCCTTGGCTTTTCACTGCTGGATTTCTTGAGTGGATGCCTGATATGAAGCTACTAGTTTTGGGCTGGGTTTTTTGTTTGGTTGGTTGTTTTGGTTTTTTTTTTTTTTGCAGGGGCATGGCAAGTCAGGGAAGGGGGTATGTTCAAGAGATTTTAATTTGTTTATGTTGGGAAGCATACCTCGCTGGCTGACTAGTTGATCTTTTCCTACTTGTTTCTGAGGCCAGCAGTAACTTTATATAACTGACAACCAGTAATTGATATTCCATCAAACTTCTCTATTCTTAATTTCATTCCCTGTTTAATTTATGGACCCTTTTGTAAAAAAATAACTGTGGTGAGTTGTATGACCCTGTGAAGAAATAGTATAATTTGTTGCCGATTTTAATTCTCTAGGTTGTGCTGCTTTGTGCGTAACTGAGAAAAAACCCTAAAGTCTGCGTCTTTATTAAACAAGACTGAACCAGGTCCTGTTAAAACCCTATGGATTATTTTGATTGGTTACCTTTTACGGTTTTCCAAATGAATGAAAAGAGACTACAGGAGAAAAAGGGCAACCTTTCACTCTGTGTTACTCTGAAGAGTGGTGGTGGTTTTCGTCTGGATTGTTACTGCTCCTTTGAATTTGAAAATCCAATACGTACACCTTGTTTTGTTATCTTATTTAGACTTCAGTTTCTATGTACGTCTGTCTTTTCCATTAAATAAATACTGAATACTGAGTAATCTCCTGGGGCAGGGGGAGCCTTTTCCAGATCTCACAAAACAGTTCTTTCATCATCAGAAATCTAGGCTGATCTTCGGTACCTTATAAAATTGGTAGAGAGAATCAAAACATTAGTGGTGTGTTGTTCTTTTAAGTCTCATTTGTATAAGATGTTTCCTATTCTACTTGGAATCTCATCCACAGATTCCCAACTCTTTGAAGTTTCCTTGAAGATCCTGGAGCCCTTCAAAATTTTTGAATTTCAGGTAGGTAAGCATTTGCGCGGATGCATGCGTTAAATTGGTCGACCCTCTCCCTATGTCTGCATCTGTGCTTCATGCTCCTAATTTCTTTTTCCTATCAGCTAGGCAGAACATTCAAGCTTAGAACACTGTCTTTTTTATCCATTATTATTATAGGCTGTATTCTTGTTAAAATATTTTGGCTCAGTGTGTATTAATAAAACAATATAGGAGTTGAAAAAATCTTCAGTAGGTTTATTCTATTTTTATGTTTCCTTTTTTTTTTTGTTTTAAGAAAAAAAGCAAATATTTGCATTTCAGACAAATGAGACTGATCTCTAGGTATGCACAGACCCGTCAGAATTTTGTTTGTTCTTTCAGGTTTGTTTGTAATACTTCTGGTTTGTTCGGATAGATTTTCTTCTTGGTATGTTCAGACTTGTAAAGAAGTACAGATCTTAGGAGGGTGTTGCTGTATCATCTGTTACTCATTTGAGCTAAATTTAAGACCAAGAAAACGGATTTCAGTGTCTTTTTGTAGTTTACGTATTCGGGCGTCTTCATTTGAAGGCTTTTTAGTGAGGTTAGAACAACCAAACTGATCTTTTATCAGAGAAGTCTTTGTGTTACTGAACATCATCTGTCATCAAATGTGTTTTCATATGGATTATATCACCATTTCTTCCTTTAAAGTGCCCCTGTAAGCATGATTGGATGTTAATACTTCTGTTAGTTGGTGATAGGAGAGTGATCTCGAAAAACTACCGGAAGTCCAAATACTGTTATTCTGTGGCCCACACAATATACTCTTGTCACCAGACTGCTGTTTTGCTTTCCTAAGAAGTTGATCTGCAATCTCAGGACTTGGAATTCCGACTCTTTCAGTAACTGTATGTTGATTCCAATCAATACCTTTCAGCTTGTTCTAAAAGGTTGCCTAGGAAGCAAACCTGCAGAACACTTAATCACTAGTCACTACCGCCACAGAGATGTGCATGTAGATGTGTTTGTAGTGTTAGAGTTCAAATGATCTGTCAGTAATGACTTCAGGTTTTGTCTGAACTAAAATACTGTGTTTGCTATAATACCGTTGTTTCATGATTCTCACGTCCAAAACACATCTTTTCACTAGTAAACTGATTTCTAGAGTATTCTGTTTTTCAGTACACTTTGCTAATGTAGAAGAGAGCAGGTTGGGTGATGTCCTAAAACCAGGAAAAAAACAAGCAATGCAAATGATTACTTGTACTGAAATAACAGAAAGTCCTATTCACAGTTTAGAGGACTTTGTAGTAGGAGAATCCCCGTATTATACAGAGATTAAGATGCTCTCCGTTCTTTTCAGATTAAACAAAAATTTCTGGGAAACAATATGTAATAAAGAAATCAAGAGCAGAAAATGAAGGTTCTGAAACTTACTTCTTTCTCTCAGACTGAATGTCTGTTATTTGGTGTTTGGATTTTTGCTTTTGTTTGTTTTCTGTTTTGGTTTGGGTTTTTTTAAGCTGTTCTGTAGAAACAGTATGGTGGTAGCAAATGTCTTTAGCATGCTCAAAACTGTAAGATTTTTTAAAAAATTGGCGTGGAAATTGACCTTCCTACTAGGTATTGAGCAAAATGGGGATGCATCAGGTATGTCCTTACAGCATTGCTTTATATTTATTCCAGAACCACTTTCAGTAGTATTTCTTCAGTTTGTCCCAAAATACCTCTAAATTCAGAACTTTTCTTCCTGAGTGTTTTGTTACACGATTCTGGGAAACTTTTCAGGATGTCATTAATTGTTTTTTATTAAAACACTGTGAAGTGAAACAGGTCATGGTATAGTAACTTCTTTTTTCCTTCTTTGCAAGTAAAAATTACTTGCCAATTAAAAAAAAAAGTTTCAGGTTTTTTAGATAGCTGTTTCTTTGTACATTTACTAGTTAGGTCAGGGTTTTTTTTCTGTAAGGCATGGAAGTGGCCTCACTTCTGCTTCAGTTTCTTGAGGCTTGGGGTTTTTTTTCTGTTCTCATCAAGCGTAGTGGGAATACCATTTTTCCATGATGGTGCTTTTAAGAAGTATTTGGAAATAGGAGTGAGCAGCCGCCTTATCACTGTAAAGCTTTGCATCACTGTTCTTCAGGGTGGTACTTTTATTTTGTCATTTCACTAAGACTAATTGAGGTGCAAGGTTCAGCTTGTTGAATCTTCTTTTTTCTTGTAAATTTGGTAGCTCTAGGAGAGAAAATAGTATACAGGTTGCAGCATTAGGTTTGGTGATAAGTTACAACCTGACTAATAATGCTTTCAAGACTTGTTTGCATTTGTTAGTTTTCATTCTGTGGTGTAAGCAATAGCATACCAATAGGGCTTTTTCAGATACTGATAACTATATTCTTCTGCTGTGAAAAGTGTCTTTTGGGAAGATTTCTGCTTCAGCTTAACACATCCCAGTTTTTGATACACTGTAATTCAAAACATTCTTTATGCATTGCTTTTTGGCCTTTGATCAATTGATCATCTGATTTGGGTTTGGGGTTTGTTTCTACCCTGTTTTCAGAATCTTCATCTTTTAGTCCACTAAAGGCAAACTGCACAGAAATAGTAAAATTGCTGCCCTTACCTAATTACCGATACTTGTGGTTTTGTTTTTTCCCAGATAACATTCATTTTATATTTTTTTTTTATATTAGGGCTTAGTGGGGTTGATAAAAGGGCATCTCTAACAGCATTACAAACCCTGCAGTCTGAGCTATACTTCTTTGGCTCTGAATCATTGATACTATCATTTCATTCATTCATTTAGAAAAGGAGGTGATTAAGATCTGATATTTCAGAGGTACAAAACCAAGTAAAAATTTCAGGTCTTCATACTGGAAATGTGAATAAAATTATGCTTATTTTTTACTTTGCAGTTTGCCTTTGAGAGGCTCTACTTTACTATTATCTAAAGTGTGGGAATATGTGGAGGAGATCCAAAGTAGGAGAAAATGGGGTTACTTTATCAGAAACTGGAGTTCTCCTATTGGGTCATCTCCTCCACTCACCCGCCATCCTCCCCACTGAGCTTTGCATCCTTGTGATCGGCTTCCAGTGTAGTTAAGGGAGCGTGGTACCAACGTGGATAAAGGGAGATGGGTCAACCTGTTTGACACATGCATGCTTACATACAAGAAATTCAAAATTTCAATGGCTCTAAGGTAATTGTGGCACCCCGAAGAAACTTCAAACAGTGTTTTTCTGTGGAGGAGATTTTCCAATAGAATTCCAGCTAATGGTAAGTAACCCTATCATGCATATTACATAGATGCCAGAAACTTTTGTGTGGTTTTCCACTCCACAGTGAAGAGTATAAAATGAGTATTACCATGTGGTAATACTACTCAGCCTCTTCTGAAGGTAGTCTTCCAAAAGTGTGGTGTTATTCAATGTCCAATTCAGTTAATTTTCCAGGTTTGTGACTGTTTACATTTCTGGCAGGTTTTACAGTGAATGACAGCTTCCATCAACAGACTCAATTTCCAGCTGTACAGCAGCTGCAGGATTCAAGCACACTTGAATCTCAGGCTCTTTCAACGAGTTACCATCCACCAGCCCTTCTTCAGGTTCCAAATACAGACACTATTAACGTAGTAAGTACTGCTGGAAGGCAGAATTCGTTGTTCTGTCTTTGTGATGAATTTCTTTGAGCTATTTCCTTGGTGGTTAGGTAAACTGAGAAGTCAGAAAAGTTTTGTGATTTCTTTGCTAGATTGCTTATGTTTAACAACTGGAAAATAAAAGGGCAGGTGGAGGATAAATGACCTGGCTACACCTAAGAGAGTTGTATGTTTTCATGCTCTAGGCTTAAAAAAGGATATAATGCTCTGAAGTTGGATCGTAAATCTGAAACTAAGGAAAGGGCCTAATGTTCTAAAATACTTTTTACGTTGTTGCACTATATTCTGCTCTAAATATTTAATTTCTATGGCTGCAGATGTGATCAAGCAATAAAAATAACATTAAAAATGTGTAGTGATCATTCACAGAGCTCACAGATTGCAGTGTATGATGTTCTTTCATGGTTCTCATCTGATGGAATTTGTAGATGATCTTAGTTGCTAAAAACACAGTTTAAATATAACTTTTTATGATGGTAGCAGTACCTAGCATGAAGAACATCTGTACTATTGTTTACCATGATGACCTGCATGAATTACAGAATCATGGAATCATAGGATGGTTTGGGTTGGAAGGGACCTTAAAGACCATCCAGTTCCAACCCCCCTGCCATGGGCAGGGACACCTTCCACTAGACCAGGTTGCTCAGAGCCTCATCCAGCCTGGCCTTGGACACATCCAGGGATGGGGCATCCACAGCTTCTCTGGGCAACCTGTTCCAGTGCTTCACCACCCTCTCCATGAAGAACTTCTTCCTGATACCCAATCTAACCCTCCCCACTTTCAATTTAAACCCGTTCCCCCTTGTCCTGTCACTACAGGCCCTTGTAAAAAGTCCCCCCCAGCTTCCTTGTAGCCCCTTCAGGTACTGGAAGGGGCACTAAGGGCTCCCCGGAGCCTTCTCTTCTCCAGGCAGAACAAGCCCAACTCTCTCAGCCTGTCCCCATAGCAGAGGTGCTCCAGCCCTCTGGGCATCTTCATGGCCTCCTCTGCACTCGCCCCAACAGGTCTATGTCCTTGTAATGGTAGGGGCCTCAGAGCTGAATGCAGTACTCCACGTGGGGTGTCACGACAGTGGGGTAGAGGGGGAGAGTCACCTTCTTGATACAGCCCAGGATAGTGTTGGCTTTCTGGGCTGCTAGCACACACTTCCAGCTCATGTTGAGCTTCTCATCAACCAACACACCCCTTATTGTCTTTCCATGCTTGTTTGCTAAGGGCATGTCAGGGAACTGCAGTGGGCTTTAGGATCTGGAACAGTTGGAGTAATTCAGCCTAAGGGCTTTGGAGTTCTCTCCAAATCTTACAACATGCTGTCATTCTCTAGGATTGCTCTGTGGTGGTTTTTGCTTAGACGAAAAACCTGTTCACAAAGAAGTGAAGTCTGTCATTACCATTTTGTATTTTGCTACTCAGTGTGGGGCTCACACTGTTTAAAAGGGCTGCTTTAGTGTTAAATTTAACCCCTCAAGCATTGGAAAATGTGCAAGACTCAAGACATGTTTTTGTCTAGATTCACAGGGAGGTGTGAGTGCACCACATTCCGTTTCTTCTGATTCAGTAGATGCACATTTTTCTGCTTTTGTTCTCACTATAAAAGAGTGAGGTATCATATTTCACTCTTAATTTCTTATAAAAAATTTATAAAAGCATAATACTAATTGCTTGTGTTGACTGTAAATGCTGTAATCTTTTCTTGCCTATTTGTGTGACTTTATTTCAACATTGTGTTGTTGAAATTTACTTGAGGCTTTGATTTCTAGGCTACCCGCCTGATACAAGATCAGTCATCACAAGAAGACCTTGAATTGCATACCCAACGGCCTCATTTTCTTGAGGATAACGAAGATCAAAGCAGGCGTTCATATAGGTTTGTTACACTTCTAGGTTCGATCACAGAATTTCCTGAATCCTTCATGGCTTGTAATTATGTGCAACTAATCAAAACAATTTTCCTCTAACAGATGTGAATATTGCAACAAGGGTTTTAAGAAATCCAGCCATTTGAAACAACACGTTAGATCTCATACTGGTGAGAAACCTTATAAATGCCAACTATGTGGCCGCGGCTTTGTTTCCTCAGGAGTTCTGAAGTCACATGAGAAGACTCATACAGGTAACAGAGTAGGCCAGCTCTGTATTAGCTTAACTCACGTTTGGGTTTTGTACTTGTCCTGTATAAGTAAACATAAACAAATGGCTACTTATTTGTTTCTGTTACTTTAAGGAGTTAAAGCATTCAGCTGTAGCATTTGCAATACCTCCTTCACAACTAATGGCAGCCTTACGAGGCACATGGCAACTCACATGAGCATGAAGCCTTACAAGTGCCCATTCTGTGATGAAAGCTTTCGAACAACTGTTCACTGCAAAAAACATATGAAAAAACATCAGGCAGTCTCCTCAGCTGTAGCTGCAGCTACAGAAACAGGAGGGGGAGGTAAATTATTTCATTTTTACTCTTACAGTCCTTACAACAAAGCAAGTACAAATGTTTCAGTGGATTACATGAATGCTGTAACAGTAATGTTGTAAATTAGCCTTCCAGCATGGATAATGTCTAGTGTCCACAGCCACTGAAATTGCTCCCTTATGTGAATTGTTTAAAGAAATCAGTTTTCCAGGAGTAGAGCACTTTTTGTCCTAAATTACTTATACCTGTGCTTAATTATCGTAAAAACAAGAATATAAGTCCAGCTTTATTTAAAAGAAATACAGACATGAGTAGCTAGACCTCGGAAGGAGATTTGAGTCCAAGCACGTACTGTAGTGGCCATGTGTTTAATCAATAAAATCTTCTATTTTTGCGATTTCAGTTGACAGATTAAACTAAACAGATGTGTTGGGCTTTTTTTCCATAGTTGCATGCGTTGAAGAAGATGATGAGAGCTCTGAAAGAACTTCCAGAAAATCTCGTCCTGGTGTCATAACTTTTACAGAGGAAGAAACAGCAGAACTGGCAAAAATTAGGCCTCGCGAAAGTGCCACTGTCTCAGAAAAAGTTCTTGTCCAGTCTGCTGCAGAGAAAGACAGAATTAGTGAGATCAAAGACAAGCAAGCAGAGCTGGAAGCAGAGCCCAAATATGCCAACTGTTGTAGCTATTGCCCCAAGAGCTTTAAAAAACCCAGTGATTTAGTCAGGTGAGGAATGGAAAAGTGTTGTGTTTTTTCAGTTTTCTAAGCTGTTCACCAGAAACTTAGCAGTAACTGTTTCATGTAAGTTTTTTATGTCTCAGGTAAAGTTTGACTCCTATTTACATACATTTTTCTTTTCCAGAACAGTTTAAAAATACATGTCAAAATATGTCATGTTCTGAATCTGACTGAGACAGATTTTTCATATTTCTTTTCCTGCAGTATTAAAATGATTATTATGAAGTTGTAGAGTAAATTACTTTTTTCTTGCTATACAACTTGTATATAAAAACATGTAAAAATCAGTTTGAAAAATGGCAAATGCTTAGTTCATATTCTTTACTAGTTCTGCTTAATGTAAATTTATTTTAAGTATTCAATTAATTCTAAAATTAGTAAGATACAAAATAAATCATAGAATCATAGAACCATAGAATGTTTTGGGTTGGAAGGGACCTTAAAGATCATCTAGTTCCAACCCCCCTGCCATGGGCAGGGACACCTTGCACTAGACCAGGTTGCTCAAAGCCTATTTTTTTAAAAAATATTTTAATAAACTGTCATAAGAGTAGAAATTCACATATACATTTATTTGGGAATTACTAGGCATGTTCGTATTCATACCGGGGAGAAGCCATATAAGTGTGAGGAATGTGGGAAGAGTTTCACTGTAAAATCCACTCTGGACTGTCATGTGAAAACGCACACAGGTCAGTAAGATTTTGAATGTCTTTGTTTAGAAACTGGGTACTTTCTTGACAGGATGTTAACTAAAGAATTTGCAAGGAATGGTACGTTTCACTGTGAATGGTAGTGCTAGGTGAAATTTGGTACTTGTTGCATCATCAAATGAATCATATTATTATATTTTTAATAAACTGTCTTGTTACAGCCTTCTATATTACTAGGTTTATAAAGGAGTCATATTCTTAGCCCGTGGAAAAACTATAATATTTTCATTTCAAATCTGCTGTAGCATTTCAAGGCTAAATGATTTTCCTGAGCAAAAGGGTGGGGTTTGAGGATTTTATAAAATTAAGTTAAATTAAAAAAAATTATAAATGTTAATCTTTGTGCTGCTAAGTAGACTGAAAGAGGACAAAGAAATTGCAGCATTCAGCTATTTGAATTATGCAAGTTGAATGTAAAACTGATTTCTGTAATATTTAGGTTTTTACAGTATTTTCTTTGTATTCCTGCAGAAGGTCTGATTTTAATTAGTATTTTTCAACCCCAATTTCGCTTATGTTTAAAAAAACTCCACCTTTTTAAATCTTTCATACTTGTTTTCTTCTTACCATTGAACTTGTAATAAACCCAGTCCTAAACCAATTAATTTCTAAAACAGGCTAAAGGTGTGCTAAGGTGCATTGTAAGCTTCTTTCAGAAATGCAATTAAAAATTACAGCTTTTAATGCTGTAATATATAATTATTTTGCTCATGGAAGCTACCTTTCCAATTCAGTGTCTTTGTACTCTCTGCTGTTGTTTAGTGAGAAATACTACTCTTGTGTATTATACCCGGTCCCTGTGTAGGTTAGTATCTTGTCTCAGACAGTAGGAGGTGTTAAGGATAACGAAAAGAACAAAGCAGGGATTTGGTCATGTTCCTCCAGGTTCAAGCAGTTGGCAAGTTGTGGGACTTTATCTTTTTGCTCACTACCTTTAATGGAATATTTTTACATTTGTTTTATCCAATTGTTTTCTATTTACAATTTATGTTTTACAGTTGTTTTCTGTTTACAATTTCTATTTATGTTTTCATTCATTTACATTTTCTTGTAAATGAATGGCCTTTATTCAGTACATCCAGTAGTAATAAGTTCCTTGATTACAATTTGGTTTTCAGTGTGCCCATCTGATGATTTTGTTCCCAAGTCCACTAGTTCTTTTGTTTGAAAAGTAATAAGAAATTGTTCCCGGTGGTTCTTTTCTCAAACTTTTTATGATTTTTAATAATGAAGAAAGAGCTTTGTAGATGTGTTGTAATATCCTTAACAGACTTTTCTCCAACTTGCTGTTCATCTGCACAATGTATATTACATTTTTGACTAGCTTCAGTCCTCATTCAGGTGCTTAAAGGTCTCCCTTACTGACTTTCAGCCTTGTGAAAGTTGACCACATAATCCTACCTTTTGTTTTCACTCTTATAACTACTGTTCTTTAATTTAGGAAAAGACTCTGTCCTTTCACCTTGTGACAGCAGTTTTTCTAAAGTCCTTGCATATAAAACCAATGTAAAACTCAAAAAAATCCAGGTGTGGTCTTGGCAGTGAAATTCTGGCCGCCTTTAAAAGGCTGTCATAGATTTCTGAAGTGTAGTTTTCACTACAAAAGCCACATCAACCTTTCCCTATTATAACTCACTCGATATTGGGGTGGGGTGTTTTTCCTTTTTTCTTTTATAATGGCACCACTTTCTGTTGGATGAACATGAAGTTCAACTGTTGTGCAGTTTCTGCATTTGAGCCTGGATCCCTTTTCAGAGGGCTGTTTTAATCTGTGGGCAACGCCTACAGCTAATAGTTCATCAGTTTTATGTTAAACTGTATTTATTTTATTTAAATGAATAATTAAAAAAAGATACATTGTGATTGTCTGGAACTCCCCAGATAACAGTTCAGTTTGAAAAGCTGCTCGTCTCCTCCCCTCTAAAAGAAGGTTGCCTGGGTATAAACCTACCTGATTCCATCTGTGATAAATATTGGTGCAAAGAATTAGTTCTGGATTTTACTGTAGCTTCTATTATATCCCCACCTTTCAGACCAGCAGGCTGGTTTCAAGTTTTTGAGAGAGATATGGTTCTTTGGCAGAACATTTAATTCCTGCATCCATATGTAGTATATAGGGGAATAAATGAAGTTGCATGTTATTGTATTTCTGCCTTCATTGCTTTTTCTGATTTCCTGTATATGTAACAGCTCTTGTTAATGTTTTATTTGGGTTGCTGGCACTATGGCATAAGTGCTATAAAACATACCTAATTTTTGGAAGCGATGCCAATCTGGCGTTTGCTATTCCTGTATGACTTTTCATCCCAATTTGTGTTCATCTTCCCTCCAAGTTTCCCATGTGGTCCCTACCTCCCTGTCCATAGATAGTTTTATGTTCTAGTTCATCCATCTTTCTTGTGTCTTTTCAGGTTCATTAGTATTTATACAAAACGTCCAAGATTGAGGTCATAATTTGATTGAATATTTTAATGTTCTGTTTAAAAAGGACTAGAGACGATCAGTTTGTTTCTTGCTGCTTAATACTTTTGTTTCGCTAACTTTTCTTACCTCCTCCTTTTTTTTTTCCTTTCCTTTCTCCCAGTGGTTATTTTTAATTTAGTGGGAAAGAGAGTTTTCTTTGTGGTAACATTTGAATGATAACTCAGGAATTTGATGAGAGATTCTTCTGTGTAAATGGAAACTAGAAATCAGTATCACGAATCATGGGCACACATTGGTTTTGTGTTGTCTTTACCGACTGTACATGACTGACGGACATCGCCAGATTACAGTAGTGTGTTCTGATCTGGAAGTTGAGTGGACTTAGTTTCAGGGTTGATGTAGTTGTTTGCCAGGTAAAAAGGATAAGTTAATTACACTTAGTATAACTTGTATTACTAAGCTATAGAGAAGTCTCTGACTGCTTACCAAAGAATAAAATCAAAATACATTGATTTTTTTTCCCCCTTGCTTAGCTAGGAAACAATAGTGAGCTAGAAGGCCTAGGAATTTCAGAAGCTAGAGTGGACTTTCAGCTACAATGGCATATTTTCTGTCAGATATTTACACTGTGCTTTTTGTGAACATTAACCACTGTGCATATGGTTAGTGAAATAAACTCCGTAACTAACAGTTGTTTGTAGTGATTAAAAATTCCTTTGGCAACCAAGAGTTTTTCTTTCAAATGTTATGCCACCTGAAAGGAGAGCAGAGAAAGAAGACTGTATGGTTATCGACCAGATTGCTGTACTTCTAGATTACTTAGAGTTGGTTGGTATTTTGTTTTAGAATATTCTCTCTTACAAATTTTATTTCCTACTTATAATCCGTTAATACTAGTCATTATTGAGGTGAAGGCTGAAACAGAAGATTAAATCTGCTGGAATTAAAGATTCCAAAGTGGCTAAGAAAGAAGCCAAATGGCAAAAGGTTGAAATGAAACTTTTAATTCTGTACTTTTGAGCTGTGTTGTTTGAACAGCTTGATTAGTCACGAATGTGAGAGATGAGGAGAACAGAGGCATCAAGGTTACTAAATAAGACTGTGTGAACCTTTTAACAGCATACTAAGTTTTAGAAATAAGAAAAAACTAAGAAACATACCCTTCATTGAGAGCCTGAAATAATTTGAAAAGCAACCAAAACTATAAAGAAAAAGGCTAGTTATTTCAAATGTTTCTGTTCAAATGAGTGAAGAATCTGTCTTTTTTTTTTTCTTTTTTTTAATTGTTGGTATGCTGATTGATTTTTGGAGGTTTTATCACTTACTTTCTGTTTTGAAACTTTTCCAGGCCAGAAGCTCTTCAGTTGTCATGTATGCAGTAATTCTTTCTCTACAAAAGGGAGTCTAAAAGTCCACATGCGTCTGCATACAGGAGCAAAGCCCTTTAAATGTCCACACTGTGATTTACGGTTTCGTACTTCAGGGCGCAGAAAAACCCACATACAGTGTCATTATAAACCAGAGGCAAAGAAGGTTAGGAAGCCAGTCGCCCGTACTTCAGCCGAGGGACTACAGCCAGTCAGTCTTCTTAACTCATCCTCAACAGACCCTAATGTTTTCATCATGAATAACTCCGTTTTGACGAGTCAGTTTGATCAAAATATACTTCAGCAAGGACTTGTGGGCCAGGCTATCCTGCCTGCTTCAGTGTCAGGTAAAAATGGATGATTTTTTGGTGGTGGTGTTGAGATCAAGTACTGACTTTTGCTTTCTATTAGAGTTCAGAAAATTGTGCCAAATACTACTTCCAAAGAGGTAAGAGTTGTATTGAATTCATAATTTGATGCACGGTGGTGACATCAATAGAAATTTGTTTATTTAAGAACGAAGGGGAAAATGTAAGCAGTTCACCTGAAAAGCTCTCTTCAGTTCTGCTGCCGTGTTACCCTGCAGAAAGGAAGAAAATATAGATAACATGTAGCTGGAGTACTCGTATTTTTGGGGAGAATACTCTGTTTGTCTATGCTATCTACATAAATAATGAAGTGTGTTTTAAGTGCACGTGCTCTGTTGTACATATGTAGTTAATAAAAATTAAAAAACCCACCCACCCCCCCAAAAAAACCCTAACCAAAAACCAATAGAAAAAACCCACTTTAGCAATACAAAAAATGACTAGGGTAGGCATGCGTGCTAAATAATTAAATGTCAGGGCACAAAGTCTTACCGATTGACAGTGACTACAGCTTCATTAGCACACTACATGTGCCACAGAGCATTCTTTTAACTCTGAGGTCAGCTGGCACAGAACACCCAACACGCTTGTCTTGCAAGTAAATGACCTTTTGAGAATGATCCTTGCTAACTTCTCAGTTGCTTTCGGCAACTGTGTAAGTGCTAGCTGGCCTCGTGCAAAGTTGGGACGGGGATGGTTTTAAGAGCAGAAGAGTGTTCAGGTGTCTGGAAATGTTCCCTGGTACTGTTAAATTTACTGCTTAAATTGTGGATCTTGGACTGTCTGTCACTTCTGAAAATGAGGCTTGGATTTTCTGTACTTCTTTGGCACTCTTTTCAGTACACATCTATGATTTTGAAGGTACGCTCACAAATTTATAGTAATGAATCAGTCTCATATTTAACTATAGTCATTCCAGCTTATCTGATTTGGCCCAAATTGTTGTCCAGAACCAACAAACTGTTGGTTGTTTGGAAGATACTGGTGAATGTTATTTGACAGGCACCGTTTTGAAAAATTTGTGATTAAAACATGTGTGATGTTTGCTTTGAGTGGACACAATAAGAAGGAGTCTATAGCATGTTCGGATGTCCTAGAAAGAAGCAGGAACCTTCTGAAATAGAGATTAGTGATTTGCATTTTACCCAGAGTGGGTATTTCTTGGGTGCATTGTAAAGCAGATTTATTATACTGAAGAACTTTGGAGTGGGAAAGAGAGATGTTTTTGAAGCATCAGCCAAGAGAGACTGGTTGATGACACTGAAAGTGTTCAGAGGAGAAGGTATGTCAAACACAGAGGAACTTTTTTCCTTATACCCTCTCACAACCTTTTGTAGAGATAGATGGTCTATTCAACTCTTGAAATTAGGAGCATTCTAAGTTCTAAAGATTTCGTATTTTGAATGCTTATGTACCTTTATTTCCATCCACTTGAATACATAGGATTAACTTTGATACCACCTTGAACAATGTGTTGTACAAAAATGTGGCAGTAGCTTTTGTGTGTACGTTCAGAGTCAGAGGGTACATAACATGCGTGAGTGCTGCTTCTGTTTAGGTGTGGCATACTCTCCAAGGAAACATATTCCAAATTTGTTCAGGTGTTTAAAGCTGCTCTGGAGTGGTGGTTCTTTTATAAGATGCTAGCTGCTGCTTAAATAATAACAGTCCTTAAGCTGTGTAGAATTTATGAAGCTTTGAAGCAGGCAATCATCTACTTCATATTATTTTTCTTGGCATAAATAAATGTGTGTGTGTAGCTTAAGTATAGATTTAATTTATAAAAATAAAGAGGCCATCAGTAATGATAAAGAAAAACATTATAATATGACTGTTTTCTTTGGTAGCTGGAGGTGACTTAACTGTGTCCTTGACAGATGGTAGCTTGGCCACTCTTGAAGGAATACAGTTACAACTTGCTGCTAATCTGGTTGGACAAAATGTTCAAATTTCTGGAATAGATGCCACCAGTATTAACAACATAACACTGCAGGTAGGTTGGTTGCAGTTTCTTGCTTTTGAGCTTATAGGGTCACTTTGAGGGCTAAAGGGAGTTCAGTGAGCATAGGTACTTGTGGAAGAGATCCTCTTGAGTTGAATGAAGCACAGGTAATACCATGCTGTATGAGCTGTCCCATGTTAGAAGACTTAAGACAGTTGCTGCACAGAGCTGGGTTTTATCTGTTCTGGTTTCTTTTTGTTCTTCAGGGTTTTTTTTACAACCCTGGGATTTTGGCAGATGGCTTTTAAAATCTGTGGTTTTTTTTCTTTTAATTGCAATTTCTCTTCTCACTTTAAGAGCATTTTAGGCTAAAACTCCCTAAAACAAACCAACCCAAATTATTGCAGAGAATGTTGTCTTCCTTAACATCAGACACCAATGTTATTTGGCAGTTTTAAAATATTTGGGTTCACAATTTAAATTCCCTTCAAACTTGTAAAATGGACAACAGAAAAAGGTGAGATGATTACATTTAAAAATTTGTATTTAGAAATTATGTGGAAGAACGATTCTGATGAACTTGGTTGTGTTTGATCCATTTCACAGAATCATTGAGGTTGGAAGAGACCTCTGGAGGTCACCAGGTCCAACTCCATGATCAGGGAAGGGTAGTCTTCAAAGCTGCACTGGGTTGCTCAGAGTCTGTCTACTCAGGAAATTTTTAGTGTAAAATGAAGAAAACTGGATTTTGGTTTTATTTCCCCCAGTCCCCAAACACTCATCTCTAAAGAGTAAAATGTCTGGTTTTAACTATTGAGAACAGATGTTTGTGAACAAACACCTAATGAGCCCTGAAAGAATAAATGATTTCTGATATGTCTTCCCTCTGCTCCATGCCTTTTCACTTTCAAAGACCTGAAGACAGTGATAAGCATGACTCGCAACAGTAAGACAGTACAGAATGCCAGCATTGTGGGTTCCTGGTGTCCAGCATGCTCATATGTAACTACAATCTTATTTCCCCAGCGTTTTGCTGAGGGGAGGGAAGAATTTACAGCTGAAGGCTGTTTGGATAGTGACTTTGGAGACTAGCTGTATACAGACACTTAATAAATTAGAGTTTATAATGTTTAATGTTAAAGTTTGAATGTAATATATACTCTATATGCAGCCCTTTGAATTCATACATTTTTGTTAAGACTGTTCATTTAACCCATATTTGTTAACTTCAGATTGATCAGATTGAAACTTGCTTTTCAGATTGATCCCAGTATTCTACAGCAGACATTACAGCAGAGTAATTTACTTGCTCAGCAGCTAACTGGAGATCCCAGTATGGCTCCACAGAATCCCTCTCTCCAGGCAACAGAAAATGCAGTGCCAGCTAATGTGGTTATTCAGCCTATATCAGGCCTGTCTCTGCAGCCCACAGTAACATCTTCCGCTACCATGACAATAGGATCCCTATCGGAGCAAGAGTCTGTGCTGACAACCAATGCTAGTGGTAAGCACTGACAATAGTTTTATTGTCCTTTGGATGTATTATTAGTTTTAATGATGGTGTTACCCGCTGTGAGAAAAACCTGCCCCCCACCCCCAAATAAGCATGTAGTTCATGGATCAGCATCTTCAGCGAAACAAATCCGTGTTACCACTTTTGAATATGATTTCATTACGTAGTCCACCTTCTGGAAAAAATATTGAAGAACATTTATAGTCTTTAGAAGCATTCCAAATCTTTGTTCTGAAGATCTGCAGAGGAATAAATTGGATATGAAAACATTTCTTCTTTGGAGCACAAGTTCTAACATCTTACCTTGGCCACATCTTTAATAGTAGTTTAGAAAATAGTGTATTAATAGCTTTAAAAGTTGTGTCTATTATAAAGAAAGAATCTTCATGGAATTTTTTTTGTTCTACCTGCTTATATTTAGGTGCACAGGACATCTCTCAAGTCATGACTTCACAGGGTATGGTATCATCTTCAAATGGACAACACGAGATAACATTGACCATAAATAATTCCAGTTTGAGTCAAGTTCTAGCTCATGCTTCAGGTTCTTCTACTACAAGTTCATCAGGAAGTCCTCAAGAAATCACTCTTACAATATCTGGTTGGTAATTTTAATGATCTTTAATGGTACCAGGTCTCCATTTTATAAGTTAGCTAGCTGTACAGTAGCATTTGAGGATATTTTCACTGCCCACAGCTTGTATATGTATATTCATCAGCTTTAAAAGATATTCCCCATATCTGCCTTGGAAAACCAAACACATTTGCTTTGCCAATGCCTGTTAAATTGGTTCCCTATTTTATTCATGCCGTTGGTTCAATACATATTTTTCTTAGTGGCAAGGCCCATATAAGCAGGTCTTGTTTCCTCGCGGTGCCTCACTTGAGGGTAGTGCAAGTCCTGGGTAATACTAGGATGGCAGCAATTATGGCAGGCACTGGGATGGGTTTATTTAATCTAGTTTTCTTTAAATGTCTGGAGCTATGTTTCAGCTATGTTCTGACCGTTTTTTGAGTTATACTGTTCAGTCTTTAAAAAATGTAGCTAATACTTAAGTTTCCTTTCATAGAACCACAGAATAGTTTAGGTTGGAAGGGACCTTAAAGACCACCTTGTTCCAACTTCCCATGGGCAGGGACACCTTCCACTAGACCAGGTTGCTCAAAGCCTCATCCAGCCTGGCCTTGAACACTTCCAGGGATGGGGCATCCACAGCTTCTCTGGGCAACCTGTTCCTGTGCTTCACCACCCTCTCCCTGAAGAGCTTCCTTACATCCAATCTAAATCTCCCCACTTCCAATTTAAACCCGTTACCCCTTGTCGTGTCACTACAGGCCCTTGTAAAAAGTCCCCCCCAGCTTCCTTGTAGCCCCTTCAGGTACTGGAAGGGGCTGTAAGGTCTCCCCGGAGCCTTCTCTTCTCCAGGCTGAACAAGCCCAACTCGCTCAGCCTGTCCCCATAGCAGAGGTGCTCCAGCCCGCTGAGCATCTGCGTGGCCTCCTCTGGACTCACTCCAACTGGTCTATATCCTTCTCATGTTGAGGGCCCCACAGCTGGATGCAGTACTGCAGGTGGGGTCTCATGACAGCAGAGTAGAGGGGGAGACTCACCTTCCTTTGACCTGCCGACCATGCTTCTCTGGATACAGACCACGATAAGTTTTCTGGAATAAGCAGACCAATTTTCTTACAGCCTTTAAGAGACTGATCCTATATACCTTATAAATAGCTTTCCACTTATGCCGAAGACCGAGGTGGTGGTTTTTTTTTTGTATCGTTACATTTCTTTATAGATTCAATATTAATATTCAGTGCTTTTCTCTGTTTTCCTTTTTTTGCTCTTTTAAAATTTCTTTTTTCTTTCTATCTTTTTTCTGTTTTCTGTTATGTGTTTCGGTTTTTTAAGTGTCATGACAATAATGTCCATGTCAGGGTGTCATGTTCCTCCACCTATGTTCTCCCTGCTTGCTAATGGGCATTTGCTCACTAGAGAAGATAAGTGTATAGCTGTCCGACAGCTAATAGTCTGGTTTCAATTTCTGTATTTCTGTTTGTTGGCCACTCCACAAAACTAGCACCATATGAAAGTGATGTTTTTTTCCAACAGAGGGCATGTTCAGTGCGATTCATTATCTCTATCGTAGGTCTAAAAAAAAAAATATTTAAAGAAATCACTTTTTAACCTTTAGCCTTTAGTTTGCTAGGTTTTATTCTTTCATGGAGTTGGTGTCTTGAATCTAACTAAGCAAGATCAGTAATTGTCTAATTATTAAGCACAGGCATTTTCTCTATGTGATAGTATGCATAATCACATCTGTATTACAGACTTGTTGACCTTCTGCAGAAAAATGTGCTTGTGCAGAAATTAATTTTTTATTTTGGTTGCATTTTCTACTTTTATTCTTTTATGAATACGTATTTATAGCTCTAAGTACAGCAGCAGAACAACATTGAGACATTTCCAGTTGTAATAGGACTCATTTCTATTCAGGCCAAGATCTTATTCAGCATAATTCTGGAAGCAGTGATCTGAATAGTGGTTTAAGGCTGACAGCACCAACCATCAACAGTCAGGCTACAGGTGCTACATTAACTATAAGCAATGACCAGCTTCTTTCTCAGGGCGCTTCACTAAATGCTCCAGGTATGCGTACAGTGATTTTTCTAATTAACAGTAATAAGATTTTCTTAAAAAACATGTTCGACCAGGTAACTAAATCTGACATGGTGTAATCTTCCACATTACAATTCAGAAACTACATGGCTTTGTGTGTTTTCTCACTAGGCTTAAATTGTTATGCCAGTTTAAATGAGTTTTACTCCACAGAGTGAGAAGAAAAACGAAACAAGAAGACATATCTAAAATTAGTACTTTGAGGCAGCTACAGGAATAATGAAGGACTATTTCTGGAAGTTGGAGAATGAAAAAATTTGATACATTTGCTGCAGACACATGACAAGATAGCCCTTATGTCAAATTTGCTCTAGTATTCAAATTTTGATACTTTAAACACACACACACGTACGTATGTGTGCGGATAGTTGCTCATACTTCCAACGGGTGCAGTACATTGCTTTGGTTGCACTGATTGGTTGCAGCAGTTTGGACAAATACAGGCTTACTACTGATATGTAAATAATTATCTTCACGCATGCTTAAATTTTCTGTCTTCCTTTTCCGTTCATCTCTCTCCTTTCATAGCTTTCTTCAGTGCTCGTATACATCTGTAAAGCAAGTTTTCTGTAATCACATACAGGGGGAGGCCTACTCCAGAGTATCCTGTAAAATTTGAATGTTAAGGCATGCCCAGGTGTAGTTGAATTAGTAAATGAAATAGTAAAACTAGACAGCTTTGTTGTTATTTCAGTCTCATCTTCTCAGGTTTTTGAGGCTTATCATAAACTGAGAGCCATGAGGCATCTAGTCATGTGTTAGCCACTGTAATCTGTGTAATCTCTATAATCTATAACCTGTTATCAAACACTTATAAACAATCCACTGGCCTTTTTTGCTGTTATGCATTATCAACCATGTTGCAAGGGTAGGATGGGAGTGTTAGGTTACGGGGTTTTCAGATTTTGGGTTTACTGCCATGAGTAAACTTTTACTGATTAAAAAAACCAAACAAACATTAATAGAATTTTTTTTTACTATTTTGCATCTCTTCCAGAACTTAATACGACAGGTGGAGCGAACCTTCCTTCATCAACACCCATATCTCAGTCTACAGTTTCTGCCCAGAATTTGGTAATGTCTTCATCAGGAGTTGGAGGAGATGGTAGTGTCACCTTGACTCTTGCTGACACTCAGGGAATGTTGTCAGGTGGTCTTGATGCAGTTACACTTAACATCACTTCACAGGTAAGAAATGCTTTTCTGAACTGACTGATAAACTAACGTTACTGTCTTACAGGGCAGGAATTAGAGATTTTGCTTAGAAAATAATTTTGTCCTGCAAGTACGTTGCATTTGAAAATTGTTAACTTTCCTTCTTTTTGCCAACATTGTGTGCACACTGGCATCTAGAAACATAAAATATTTAAACAGAAATAAAGATACATTTTGCAGGTTTTCAGGGTTTTTTGGTGGTGGGTTTTTTTGCAATGAACAAGTAGATTCTGCTGTTTCAAACATTGTTTGAGATTAATTTTTATGGATAACTTTTTACTACATCGTCGCTATTCAGTAATGTATCTCAGTATTCCTAACATCTTTATTGTTTAATCTGGTAAATTTTTCTGTTACTGCTTGTGAACATGAGAGTTGGAGAGCAGTTGTGACAGTTCCTTTCACAGCAAATAACAGGACAGATTCTAAATTAAATTGACTGTCTTTAATAACAGGTAGCATCATAAAGAATGCTACAAGAATAGTGCTGTATGGACTATCATCTCTCCAGTAACTTTAGCATTAGTTTTATTTTTATAATAATTTAAGATTTTTGTGGTGTCATCAAGAGCCAAAGATGTGTTGGCAAAGAGACAGAGAGAAAAATAAATGGTATTAAGACCTGAAAGGGAACATTTAGGGTCATTGTGTGGTTGACATTTCAGTGTAGATTTGACATCTGAAAACTCAGGCTGTTTCTTCTACTTCCTTGGCTGAACTAGGTTTAGATTGGGTTATTTACTTACTCTTTGGCCCAAATTACGATGCGTAAATGTATATAAATGCAAGACTATTTGTCTAGCATATGGCATGATTAAACCTGGTGAAGCAAAGTTTGTGAGGATGATTATATGCTTCTCTCTTTGCTGTTTTGCTCAGGAGAGGAGAAAAAAAAGTAGTAAATAACTAAATAGTTCTTGTGACATTTGTGATTTCTGGCATCGCAGAGTAACAAAGCAACAAGTGTTCATTTGAGACTTTGTAATAATTAAAGCAATTACGTTTGGAAGTGTTGATGTATTTAAGACACTTTACCTGATGTTAAGACAGGCATAAATAAAAATGAAACACTGTTTTGGGTGCTGTGCAAAACCACAGTCTGTGTTGCAGGAATCCTGATAAATAGACAAGTAGTACATGAAGTTACTGTGTTTCCTGGGGAAATTGAAGTGTCTTCAACAGTAATGTGGAAATAGAAGAAGTAGTGTGATGTTATCTTAACTAGATAAGATACATGTAGTGTGATGTGTATCTTAATTAGTAATTTTGTACCTTAATTTCATGTGTTTTGGAAGTAGGTTTAATTAACAGATTAAAAGGAAAAAAGGAAAATATTGTGGGAAGTCTGTTCAGGAAAGCAGAATAGAGGAATTAAAAATAGTATCAGCTGAAGAGACAAAGAGAAGTGAAGGCTGAGACATTCAGCAGTTGATGCAAGGCTGGGAAAAAGTAATCAGAACTGAATCTCTACTCTTACAGACATGAAGCTGTTATTACCCTTAAATTGGTAGACTTAAAATGGAAGGAGGGAAGGAGGGAGAACAGTAGTATTTGTTTAGATGCTGTTCTGGAATGGACTTTTTCAAGAAAAAAAAAAAGTAGTTTTCAGGTATAAAAATGATGTGCATTACTAGAAATAGCTGTTTTAACATAGTTATTGTACATTTTTGTTTTTTCTTTCCTCCTTTCTTTGACAGGGACAGCAGTTCCCTGCTATACTCACGGATTCTGGTCTCGCTAGTCAAAGTGGATCAGGCTCACAGCAAGTCATACTGGTGAGCCATACACCCCATTCAGCATCTGCAAATTCTGATGAGATAACCTATCAGGTAGGTAGAATATATTCTGTCTTTTGTGGGTAAAGGACAATATTTAATCAAAGTAGTGGAATGATTCCTCTGTATCCTGAAGCAGGAAGGCTGATGTCATTCCTGAATTATAAGAGTATAGGGAAGAGATTCATTGTGACTGCCTAGTCACTCAAATTCTGTTTAAAGTTTTGAGTTAAAAATACTATTTCATGTACAAAAAAGAAATTAAGTTAATATTGTCTGTCTTTCTACAAATTACATAACCATGCTGTCAACACGGGCTGTTCCAAAACTTTCCAAGTAAGTTTTTAATTAAATAATAAAAATAGACAACATTGAGAGCTGTGGACAAAAAGTAGGTCCTATTGCTACACATTTTCTATTCTCTTTTTGTAACCAAACTGCTTTAATAGTGGAGCAACATAAAGTCTTTTGAATTTCTTCTGTATTTGAATTGCGATGGAAACTTTTACATATGTAATACAGTATTAACATTAGAAAAAGTAGTTCAGAATTCTCTTGTTGAAGGCAAAATTAATGTTTTTAACCAAGCTGGTAATGCAAGCTCTAAAATAGGAAAAATGGGAGAGGCAGATGGTGACCCACAATCATCTGGGTCTGGATTGGCGAGCAAAGGTCGAGATGTGGGCAAGTTGTGGCTGATATGGGCAAGAGAAGCCTGGGTAAGGGCCGAAGGGAGGGGACCTACCCCAAGTATATCTGTTTGAATAAAGGCGCTGAGTCGACAGCGTAAGAGAGAAAAATTCAACACTCTACTTGGAAAGTTTGTCACAGCTGGGTTCCTCTGAAGTGCCTGTGCTGATGCATCTGCGTGGGGAGCAAACGGGAGGAATTAGAGGTCAGCATGCACTTTCAGGGCTGTGATCTCTGGAATCAGAGAGAGAAGGTGCTACAGCTCACACAACTGAGGTGCTGCCATGGCTGTATTCAGGATCTTCAGGAAGGACAGACTGGCAAGACAGCAGCAGGAAAGGATGGAGGT